TAATATAGTAGTAACTATATGGTTAAAAATGAAGAAGTTTTAAAAACAATATCTCTTATCCTAAAAGTAGACAAAAAACACACACACACACACAAAAGGAACAAAATTTAATGTTATATATCATCTGGGCAACAAGCGATATGTGCATTGGTAACCAGTAACGTAGCATGAGATTAATCTCTCTTATAACATCTACATTCTGATTACTGCTGGAATTACTGATTGCGGCACATCAGGGAAGTGACTTTTTTGACATAATCGCGAGAGAGACATCAGTGTGAGATTCTTCAAATTTCCTGATGCATTTTCTGCATTTCTGCATGCAATTGCATGCAATTTTCTGAACATCGCAGCAGCATCATCAGTATCCTGAACGTATTATTAATATAATAATGAGGCAAGACTCACTCTCGGCAGTTATCATCATAAAAATTTGGTGATAACCATTTCTTTTTTCTCTTTTATAAGCTTTTAAATATTTTGTTTTATTGTGCAAGTTTTTCCGTTCAAAAATTGCAATCGCTTTTTAACCACTACTTGGCATCCAATTAAGCTGAAATTTAGCATACTTATGTTAGTTTGATGACAATAAAATATGCCGTCATCAAAATGGTTTGATGATGAAAACTATGACCATGGAAATACTCGTAAACTGAATAATAATAAGTCGTACTCGAGATAATAAAATAAATCAAACGACGATTTTATTAACTTATTTATTCTTTATTGCACACAAAAATTTGTACAAATGACGAGCTTAACGTCGTATGGCATTCTCAACCAGCTAACCCTAGGTAAAAACAGAAAACGTTATTTATCTTGAAGAAAATCAAAATATAACCTTATATAGTGGTCAGAGTCTGTTTATAAAGCTTGACAACTCAAAAAGTTTGTTTTCAAAAATGTTTTTAAATAGACTTATTTATCATAGTTTTATTTGATTAATGATATGTCATGAAACAAAATATAAATATCGCGCGAGAAAAGGAAAGCAAATTGATTTCGTTTCACCGCGTAGTGCAAATACTTGGGTTTCTCGCCGTAACTGTGTTTTGGTGTCAGTGGTGGCATTGTGTAATACAGTTATATAATGTGACCTTGTGCAACTCGATTATGTGAGATTCGGACGTTCAAGTTCAATTTCCCGCACTCCGAAACGAACTGAATTCGATTTTTAAATTTAGAAAACAAAACTGACTGTATCTCGCTGCTTCCTCCACATGAATCAGTTTTTTGTGTATTCTAGGTTCTAAGATATAATCTATTTGTATACCAATATTTTTTAATGCTTCCAATAGTTTTTGCGTAAAAGAGTAACAATCCATTCACCAGATTAATAAATTTTCGTATTTATAATGTAGAAAAATCTTTTTAAGAAAAATGTATTTCTAAATTATTTTTGTGTGTATGTAACGTAATATTATCGGCAATTTGTAAATTATTTGAATTTGTGTTTAATTTGTAAGAAAAGATAACATTTAAGAAATATCTATCTTGATTTTATTACTTAAAATATAACAAATCTTTATTTTAACATTTAGTAAATAGATATCCAATGTGGCAATAAATTTGAATAACGTTGTTATAACCTAAAAATAACCTAGAATATTTGAATTTAATACGTATACCTATTTTTTTTTAATGAAGTATAGGTATAATACAGTAGCGATAAATATGTCTTAATTATATAGGCATATTTTTTTTGATCAATTTATCAATAATAATTTAATAATAATTGTGTATCTATGTTAAAAATAGAGTTATCATTCGATAGCTAATTTTGGTAGTAGGTACCTATTGCAAACCAGAAATATTTTTATGAATATAAGACGCCAAAAAATTATCGTTTCTGTTATTGTTAGGTACATCCATTGTATGTAATATATTATTTAAAAAAAATTATCTTGGCAACAGCTCAACTTTAGAAAGGTCGTAAGTTAATTAAAAATAATATTTGATTATCTACATAGGACATTGTCAAACAGTTTTACCTAAATTAAATATTAACTCTGATAAGTGCAGATAAACAAATATACATTAAAATGGTGCGCAGTTGTTCTTAAGGATGTAACTACTTATATGCATAGAAAAGTAAATATGTTTTATTTGAACTAAAATCGAAAAAAATTCATAAATAAAAAAAAATACTGATTGCAAAATAAACTGTATAGCAACCTTTGCCTGCAATCAGTAGGTAAACTGAAAAATAACAAGAACTAAAACCATAGATTAAGAATAATGGTACCTACAGTCCAACTGATTGATTCTTAGGTTTCTAAATTTGAGTTTTTCGAACAAATTATAGGTATTACTTTATTACACTAAATGGAAATGTTCGCAACCCTATGCATCCGGTAGTTAGTCTAGTGAATTTCTTGTCAAAGACAGGAGCTCTTAGTATAATAAGCCTTACTAAAAATGTAGACCGAGGACTATCTGTCCTTGGAATTGGACTTAAAATCCTGGGCAAACCAGGCAAACATAAAGTGAAATGTTATAACTCGTCTATGTAGGTAATTAGGATGTATTTATTCTGTGGAGTCGATGAGCGACAGTTACCATTTTTGACCAGGTAGACTGTCGGGTTCTTTGCCATTTCAACTTTCATAAAAAAGGTGTGGGCAGACTCGTAGGCGTAGGGGGTGCAACACTACTTTCAATCAAAAGTCATTGCGTAGGATATGACTGCTCAAGAATGAACTGGTTCAGTTGTTCGAGATAACAGTTGACAACTAAGGTCAGTAACTACTCTTTGTAGGAACATATACTATGAGAGCTCAATAAGAATATAAAATGTTTAGACGATAGTATATATAGCAATATATGATTTCACTTTATCGTTTCCCAAGTAGATTTTGCTTCACTACAAAAAACTGATGACTTTAATCATAAAGACTTGACTTATGTTGAAATGACCAGAACGCATATCAACATGTAATTAACGACATGGAGTTCTGTGTCTACTATCATAGTGAATTTTGCTATCTTTCAATTTGGATTTTGCTAAGATAACGTCAGTTTCTACTGTCACAAAATACGAAATAATAATGGCTTAAATGTTATAGATTCTAAAAAAAATAATTGAATCTGTTTAGAGTTGGCGCGCGTAGTGTTCACACACGGAAATTAAACATGCATTGATAACCTCCTGCTTTCGAAAGTTAGTTAAAATTATGCTTATCATCGTTTAATTAACGTTTTAATTGAATTTATATTAAATTAAATTTACGTCTCTACTTATATAGCTTTGCAGACAACAAAAAATAATTATAAAATTTCAATATATTCTATATGCATGTACATTATATATTGTATTATAAAAATGCTAATAAAATAATACTTAATGCTTCTTTTTATTATAACCCATATACGTAAAAAATACCACTTATGCCCACTGGTGCCGTACAAATAGACGCATATTAAAATCGCGTGCACAACATTTCACTCTCGATTTTTTAAACTGTCGGTCATTGTACTTTCATCACCTTGTAACTGGTGACTGGTTTGCTTCACCCACTGGTACACTTATAATGTTACATAACGTGCGGCATTTGAGCAAGTACTATGTATCACTAAGCATGAAACATGACATGAAATGCAAATATTAAAGAATGCATATTCATTGGATCAAATTATTATTTTTTATTCAAATAGAACTATGAATATTTGAATATAATTAAATTTAATTATTACTTAGTTGTATGGCAAATAATGGTGTCGCCGAATGGTTCCGGCATAGAATAGGCCACCCTTTTCTTTCCTGTGGTTGTCGTAACAGGCGCCTAAGGGAACTTAATGGACTAGGTATGGACCACAGCGGACAAGAGGGATCTTAAAACATCACCAAAAGTTAACTATGGTTACTAACCCGTCTGCCAAGCGTAGCAACTACTGGCAAACTCCCTTTATGGATTTAAGAGGGAATTTTTAGTTTTGAGGGACGTTAAGTGAAGAGGGACGTTGTTGCCCATTCCTCGATCATTTATTTATCTTATTTGCCTCTTACGACACTCACGGGAAAGGAAAGGATGGCCCATTCTATGCAACCACATGGGACCACCTGGCAATAATATTAGTAAGAATCAAATAAATTTAATTTTAAGCATTTTTAATACCAACTTTGCTAATTAAATTGCAAATTCAGGTGAATTTTTAAACTAAACAATAATTTAATTATCTCATCTTTGATATTGTTTATCTACTCGTATATGTTCTCCGTAATAAGATTTGTACAGGCAATGTTACCATCCTATACCACCTATTAAAAAAACCTTCATGCGGCACTCCCTGGAAACATCGTGATTAATTCTTAACGTAGTGTTAAGTCAACTGACCTGCGAGTCTACCATGAAATGAAATTCTGAAATTTCGAACTCAATTTCATGTTTTTTGTTTATACCAAAATCTGACCAATAAATGGAGTTTAACATTTCATTTGTCATACATCCTATCATAAAAGTCCGAAGGAACACAATTTTATCATTTTTGATATTTCCGAACGGCATGTATTATGCAATTTTAACATCAAATTTGTGTTTCTTTTGGCTCCGAAATTTCGGAAAACATTTCATGGTAGGCCCTCTGGTTTCGTACTCATCGTTTTATCCTCCATGGTACTCCGCCAATGGATATTGTTAGCATAAATGAACTAGTTCATATTATTTATTAAAAAAGACTTTTTTTTATGCAACTTAGAATGGCAAACAAGCTGACGGCCTACCTGATGGAAAGTGGTAAACATCGCCTATAGACATAATAGACTATACTGTTTCGCCCATGATACCCCCAATCCGTTGCCATTCCTGAGAACTCTGGTGTTATTCCTCTGTACCATATAAATTCACTAGCATTCCCCACCCTTCAAATCGAAACATGCCATGCTTCACGGTTGAAACACGAATGGGATAGAGGTACTCAAGCAAACGACTTTTGTACAAAGTCTTCCTCTGGTACTTCAGTCATATCTTTTTATTAATGTATGTTCTTTTCATAATTTCCAGCGGAGTACATCCTACCATGCAGTCGGAGTGATCCGCAATTGGATTCTTGTATCAAGAACTCTTTCAATCATTTGCGACCATACCTCGCCAGAGGCTTACCCGACATCGGCGTTCCAGCAGTGGAGCCTCTGAAAATAGATCGACTGGTCATGGAAAATGATGCTGGACCAGTGCGAGTTACAGCGGCATTTACCAACATCACCGTGAGAGGGCCCAGTAACTACACTATCTCTAAGATTAGGTTAGATTTTTCTGCAATTAAAATATCAAAGCCAATTCATCGCCAACACGATAGAAAGTAGTAACAGTGGTCTATAGACATGAACAGTGGCATGTACGTCATACTGTGGCATTCCTCATTAACTTTCCTGGGAACTAAGATCTTAGGCCTAGGGTGGGTAATATGTAGCAAATATATAAATAATGAAATATATATATTTAAATATCTATTTATTTTTTAATATATATATATCAAAATTAATATAGGTATTCAACTGGGATGAGCGATTTCGAAATGAGTGATGACCTTTTTTCAATCATCAATGTCCAGGCCCAATATATAGATATCGGAACGTTACTGATTTACCTATGTCTAGTTATGCTTACTTTAGAATTTTTTCAACAAAGGTGAAAATCTGACTTGGTATGAAAAGTAAAGCCGCAATTTTCAGAGTACTACAGTTCGATTTTTGGTTTGTAAAAGCCACGTCCTAATTTGTGAATCTTTAAGAATTCACATCTCTTAAATTATTTAATTGAGAACTTCAAATTGTTTTGGAATACATTTGGAATGAAAATCTATCAAATTATTAGTATCCTTGCTAATATTACAAATGTAAGAGAGACTTTGATTATTTTATTATCACTTAACACCTAAACGGCTTAACCAATCACTATAAAATTCGGTATTCAGGTATTATATGAAATGAAAAAAGACTACTTTTAATCTCGATCAATTCACATATCCCAGTTGCGCGGATTAAGTCATGATGAAAAATCTGATACTCATACCTACATATTTATATATATATAAATATATAAAAGACTACAAAATAATGATGCAATTTCGCGATATCGTTCCGCTGTAAAAAGTGAGTGTAAGGATGTTGAAATAGATCAATCGACCGTTACCATCTGTTAGCTGCGGGTTATGCAAGGATCGATATTGATGAAGTAATGTATATATAAACATAAATAAAGACAATAACTGGTATAATTCTAAAAAAAGACAATTTTTTTTAATTTTTTTTTTATACAACTTAGAATGGCAACAAGCTAACGGTCCACCTGATGGAAAGTGGTAACCGTCGCCTATAGACACGAGCAGTACCGTGGATATAACAAAGTATACTGTTTCGCTCATGATACCAAAAAAATAGATAAAATAGTAGTCGGAGGTCCTGGAGACCAGCATTGTTAGATGCGATATTTTATTTTTCCTCATACTGCAATTTTTTTTCCACATTAATAAAAATATTTCCATTGTTTTCTAATCACAAACTTTACTTTTTACCAAGCAACCTCAACGCAAAATTTTCAAATATAAGAGAGACTGATTTTATTTTATGCAACAAGTCCTTCCTAAAATCTGTCCAATACAAAAATTTCTCCAAAATTGTGGAATTTATTCCACAACTTAATCTGGTAATGGTGTTCAGGATCTTCAATCATACGTTGTCATTTATCATAATATTACATAATGGTTAATATTATTTATATTCTTGTCAAATAACTAATATATATATATATATATCTATATATATATAATGTGAAAGTCAATAATGCTTTCTGGAAATTTGACTGCTAAATGTTGGAGCTTTAATACTGGCTGTTGACGTTGAGTTTTTTAGAACAATGTATTATTTGTGTTTGTTTTATGTCAGATTTTCATAATACGTGTCTTGTATTTTTTCACTAAACCTATTATTTTATATCATAAATTCATGTGTTTTATTACTGCATTTATATATATATATATATATATATATATATATATATATATATATATATATATATATATATATATATATATATATATATATATAATACAGAGGGCAAACGAGCACGTTCACCTGATGGTAAGTGACTACCGCCGCCCATGATCACCCACAACACCAGAGGCATTGCAGGTGTGCTAAATAACATAAAATACAATACAGGAATGTATAAATAGTCAATACTATAAATTTAGTTTTTAGCAATAAAACTAAATTTAGAAAGGATAAATCCAGTTTTAGGAAGTAGAGCGTAAAATGTAATTAGTAATATTTTATTATACAATTTCATCATATATGTCTGTCTTTTTGGCAATCAGAAATGGGACTGCAAATGCGCTAATAAAATAAAGAAATGTCATGCTATCATAAAAATTATGTAATCCTCGAGTTAGATTAGATTGCATCGTGTTATGAGAAATAGAGAACATCATGAAAAATATTTTGAAACAAACGAGTCCGAGCCAATTTAGAAAATTTATTTGATAATAATTTTACAACTATAAATAGTAAAATTCAGCAAATTTTGTTTTAACCTTGTATATTTTTTACTTATTTACTAGATTACATATTTATTAGGGAGACTTTGAACAAAATTTGTTTGCTTAGGTACCTCTGTCCTATTCGTGTTTTAACCGTAAAGCAGCTGTGTTTGCATGGCTGTGTTTCGGTTTGAAGGGTGGGATATGGCGTGAGTTTACAGGGTACAGAGGAATAACACCCGAGTCCTCAGGAATGGCAACGCATAGGGGGTATCATGGGCGAAACAGTGTACTCTGTTGTGTCCGTGGTGCTGCTCATGTCTATAGACGACGGTTACCACTTTCCATCAGGTGGACCGTCAGCTTGTTTGCCATTCTAAGTTGTATAAAAAAAACTACGATTATCTACTGATCTACCCGTGTAAAGCCAGGTCAGATCAATAGAAAGTCTTTAATTATTTTGAAAATAAAATACAGCTCACGTTATGTGGCTAATATAGGTGAAAAGGGGGGGGGGGGAGTGATTTTAATTAGCTCCATTGAAAATATGCCTTAAATACAGAAACCATCGTGAACATTCTTGTTAAATTGTCACGATGGGCTAACTATTCATCCTCACCTATCATCCTTCATTGGTGTCCCGCCGGTGTATACCGATAGCGCGGGTGGGGTTATCATTCCATTATCATTCATTAAAAAAAAATATAGGTGAAAGAAAATTTAAAATCCGTTAAGAGTTTTTTAAGTTTACCCATTACAAATAAAAATCAAATCTTTCGTCTTTATAATATTAGTTCAAATGTAGTGAGTTGCGACGAAGTAGATGATACGAAAATAATATTCGTAAGTTTGAAAATAATAGTATAAGTATTTCTAAGAGATGACCATCCCTTAAATGGTATTGAAAGAAATGTATTGTCGCGTCATTTAAGAGCGAGTTTTGAAAAAGCGAATACTGTAAAAACCTTTTAGAAAAAAAACATGTTCCAATTTTCATGCTCATATGACGTCGAAGGTATATATATATATATATATATATATATATATATTCGTAAAATAATAAAACATTTCCGTTCCAGGTCAGACCTAAAGAAGTTACGTATAGATATGGGATTATTATTGCCTCGCATCGAGATCACAGGCCGCTACGAAGTCTCTGGGCAGGTGCTATTGTTTCCAGTCCGTTCACAAGGAGACTTCTGGGCTGCGTTCAGTTAGTATACAGATTTCTAGTTAGGAATATCAACGAACTAACGCTCCACCTGAGAGAAAGAGACAACCATTGTCCATTAATATTTGAAATATGAAGGATATTGCTATAATATTGTTAGCCTTTTTTTTATACAACTTAGAATGGCAAACAAGCTGACGGTCCACCTGATGGAAACTGGTAACCGTCGCCTATAGACATGAGCAGTACCATGAACATAACAGAGTATACTGTTTCGCCCATGATACCCCCATGCGTTGAAATAATTTATAATTATTAATAATAATTTGTCGCCTTAGAATAATTAGAAATTTGTAGGATCTTTTAGTTTTGTAGATTCCATATTATAGCACAAATAGGCGACGGTTATCACTTTCCATCAGGTGGGCCGTCAGCTTGTTTGCCATTCTAAATTGCATAAAAAAAAATCCTTAAGTTGAGAGTATTAGAGAGAGTATAGTTTCGTCGACAATATGAACTTGACACTGTATGAAAACAAGTAAAAGAAGTTGAGCTTGGTGGAGAAGGATAAAAAAAAACCCTTTTAGCCTATTTAGAACCTCAAATTTCTTAGAGATCGATTTAACTTTTCACTGCAATTAATATTTTCAGGGATCTTTAATTTGGATCTTCACATGGATAAATATATTTCGCTTTCCATTAATCCATAGTAACAAAAAGTACAGAACAAATTTAGAGGCTGTGACTTTAAAACAAATAATGAATGCTTTCTAAAATGTTTTTGAGAAAAGAACGTTAGTTCAAGGAATGGACCTTGATCTTATCGTTATTAGAAAACGAGTGCTTATTACGAATTATTTAAAATCAAGATTTTATTACAGTATAGGTTATCTGAAATGTATAAATACTGTAAATATGATCTTTTATACGAGTTATGCTTGGTTTTATGATCTTGAAGTATGAGACAATTTAATAATTTCTGTTTCACCATCATCATCAATTTATTTATTATAATTATAACTATAATGGCGACGACAAAACTACCTTTTTAATAATTTACTTATTCATTAAGGAGAATTTTCCTTCAATATTTATTACGCATTAGTATTTTAAAAAATTTTAATTTCATTATGAAGAAAACAAAAAGACTTTAACATATTTTCAGTCGACGTGGCTGCGATCGGCAGAATATTTGGCAAAGAAGTTGAGAGGGAAGGAGTCAAGTACATGATGGCTGATAGATTGCTGGTAGACTTCAAATTGAGAAACTCCAGGTTTAAAGTCAGGGACACTGTTAACTTTGGAAGTGTCATTGGTAAGCAACGTTTTGTAGTTGGTGTTACAGTTGGCATATATTTAGGATATCATAAACATAATTTTAACTATTTACCACTCTTAAATTTATTATAAGGACTGTCATAAAATGTTATTAATAAGTCCGTCTGTTTATCTAAATTTAATCTCAGTTCTTTACATCATCATGCAATCGTAATATTTTTTAAAAGTATATGATTACATAGTTGTATTATTCAACATTAATATCATGACAATTGAAATTTTAAAGCATACTAAGTAACCAAAGCAACAAATTTATGCTAACACTAAAAATAATCATATTGTATGGAATTGATTATTGTACATTGCATTTTTAATTATAAAGTGATTGTAGTGTAAAAATATTTTATTTGTTTATTTATATAATATAAAAATAATTATTTAATTCCAGGTGAAGCAATGAACCAATTTTTAAATAACAATGCAGCAGAAATCATTGATGAGATGAGACCAGCAGCTTGCGTGTCCATAGCAAAACATTTCCAAGCGTTCCTGAATGCTGCTTTCTCTAAAATACCCATCGATGTTTGGCTCAAGCCTTAGAGTTCTAGGTACATTAAAAATTGTGAAAATTCGGTAGTATTTACTATTTAAAAGAATTAATTTTGCAGCATCAACATTAATTTAACCTTCATTACTTAGGACTTTGAGAAAGTGCATTAATATGTATCGAACTTGATGTCACGTAGGTAATTGATACAAAAGGTGGTTGTCGGTGTGGTGGTAAAGTGAGAATAGAATGCGTCTCTACTTCTTGTTGCCAGGTTGTCGTAAGAGGTGACTAAAGGAGCAAAGCACAATAGACCAGTGTATGAAAATGAAAACTAACCAATCACAAGCAATCAATTCAGTGTTGTATTTGAAGAAATCATTCCAAATTAAGGAAGCATTAATTAGTTTGGGAGGGCAATTATTAATTATAATTTTGATGGTAATTATTGAAAAATTTCATTTTACACTTTGTCCCTCTTCAAACATTACCAAAGCCTAACTGTGGTTGTCAATCCACCGGCCAAGTGTGGCAATTACTGGTGAAACCTTTTGGGAAGGCCTATGTTCAGCAGTGGACAGTGGACGGTTGATATGAATGAATAAAGGAATTGAAAAATATCAGACAAGAAAATACTTTTGTTATCGTCAAAGTACGAGTAAATCTCTTCGATCAAAACGAATGGGCCTTGATATCGTTAGATAACTATAACGATGAACAAAAAATTTATCTAATTGCTTGGTATCTTCATTGGATAGAGTTTAATTTATTGTGCACTATTTTAAGCAACGTAACAGTTCTTCAATTTTAGAAGACTACTAAGATGTATGTGTGTTTTAGGCTTACGATAAAATATACTGACGGTGATTGTCAATTGATGTCCAACAGATTTCACTAACAAGAGTTAAAATTTTATCCTAATACTTAAGATATTCATAAATAACTTAAATACAAAAAGTTTTAAAAAGTATTTTAGTAATTTGTTAGAACTATTTGTCAGATAGTATTGTTTGTAATGAGTATTCAAGCATTATAATGCTTACTTTATTAAAGATTGTTATAAATTGCAATCTTTGTTCGGTCTTCTATCCGAAATTCTTTAGTATTCCTTACTAACAAGTACTTTACATTATGCAAAAGACAAAAAGTCCATCACGATCTTTGATCCTAAATCTACGATTGTCTTAATTCATATCTCCTATGGTAATGGTCCTTGTCTGAAGTTTTTAATAAAAAATGTGATAACTGCGCTTTTTGGAGAAGCGAATACTCAAAATAACAAATGAATAAATTTTAGTACCCATGTCGAAAGTTCAGTAGTAAAAAAAGCATAATTCGTTCTGATAATGACTAATTAGATGCTAAATAATTTCTCATCTTGTTCGTTACCTCCAAACCTCCACCTCCAAATATAAAAATATCTAAAATTAAATATACTTCAAAGACTGACGAAATAGCTCTTCTAGGTATAGTGATGTACTAAAATGAAAAATTATTCAACAACTCCAATCGCTAACCTATCGAAGATACCTATTAATTCTGTAGAATTATTATTATATAATAAATAAAACCACAGTCTATATTATAAAAGTACCCAACGAAGTGTCTTAAAAACAATAAATGGGGAAGCAGTATTTTAGACGTACTCGTATTGTGAACTTTTGTTTGCTGTTTGTAATAATTTGTTTAAAGCAATTTACTAATGAAGAACTAAATTAAAGTTAGCTAATTACACAACTCTGAGCAAAAAGTTTACAATATTTGAGTTATTGGTATAATGCACAGTTATAGTTGTTTTGAATATTCTTGTGACTTTTTCAGATAATTCAGGAAAATATTGAAATGAATCTATATAATGCGTCTGTATTTTACTATGATTTTTAAGCTTTATTTATTTAACTACCAAAATTAGGGATCGAAATAGTTGATAAGTGAATACTATTATGTTTAATAATAAGATTATAATAAGGACAATTGTGATTATTAAATATAGTTTTGTAAGAAAACCAGTAAGGTTTATATTGGTAAAATAAAAATATTCCAAATACAAAGGTCTTTTTATTATTGTTAATGATGTGCGTTTGCGTTTTGATGATGAACGGATGATGAAGATGATGATGATGAATAAATACACCTAGTATTTGAAGCGGTTTAACTAGGGTAAATAAAAAAAAATTTGAAGCGTTGATGTAATATAAATTTGATGTAATGCGCTGTAGGTTGTTTTGCAAGTAAGTTACAATTTGAAACCTGAAAGATCATGTAAATTTCTCCTGCGTTATGATTGGCGTTCTCGCGATGTCGTGATGAGCGACTCTTGTGACTGGTTGATGTTGTGTGTGATTAATAACTTAGCAGTCGTCCATTGGCTTTACCGCTGAAACCGCTTTATTATACGCAGGAGTGAATAATATTCATGGCATATTGTTAATGCTTTGACAGTTATACTTATAATAGATAAAACTTTCTGTAATCTGATAGTTTTACTCTAGTGGATACTTACTCCTTTTTTAAATTAAAATCCACCTGTTAAAATACATTATAAGTTTATTTGATTTATTTCTTGGGTTTTTATTATACCTATTTTTTTATAATACGAGTAATAACTATTAAAATCTGATATTTATAAAATTTAAAAATTGATACTGACCCTATAATTATAAGTGTGTAATTTTGTATTGCTAATTAAATAAAATTCAAAACAGAAATTTATTATTTATTATTATAACATAAAATAAATATTTAAATAAATATTACTTACAGTACTTTACTTTACTTTACGTACAGTACTTTAGTGATTTGTGTTTTATTCGTGTTGTCTTAATTAAAGTTTATAATAAGTACCTTTAATAAAAATCTATTTTAAGATTTGTCTCTCTCTCTCTCTCTCTCTATATATATATATTGAATCTATAGAATGTCATCAGCATTGAGGGTGCCAAAAGCGTGGTCAGCCAGCGGCTTCAAGAAATCTCTCAGTGCTTCTTCCATGGGGGCTTTCAATTCGTCCGCTAACTTCTCCCAATTGTCGTTCAAGAACATATTCATTGTTTTACCTGGAAAGAGTACAATTTACTAATTACTTTATAATTAAAACAATTAATTATTTTAAGATATATTAATTGCATTTTTTAACATTAAAAATTAACAGAATAATATATTCATTTGGCAAAACATCTTCAAAGCCTAACTGCGGTTGCCAATCCGCCTGCAAAGCGTGGTAACAACTGGCAAAACGGAGAGTATTATGTTCAGCAGTGGATAATTAAAGGCTGATATGATGATAATGAATTAATGATAAATACATTGATTCAAACTAAGAAAAGAAATAAATAATTCGACTTACTGTTTTCTTGTACCTTACATCAGGATATATTTCCCAATTTTACGCCGATGTGACGCCAATGGTGATACTTTGTCGGGGTAAATTGACAATAATAGTATACACATTTATATAAATGATTCTAAGAATTATTTTATGTATTCATATCAAATTTTTTTATAGCACAATGAAGACAAACAAGCATACACGGTTAGTGCAGCTTAGGAACGCCTGCAATGCCAGGGATGTCTCGCGCACGTTACCATCCCTGAATATTCTACCGTAATGTTAGATAAATTAAAAAGAATTATAAACCCACCTAATTCTTCATCTCCTCCGAAGAGATTATCCAGCTGCATGGACGCGTACCCGATGTTGAATCTGACGTCTAGGTCCTCACAACTCAGGGCATCTACGTCGTTGTGCCGAGGCTGTTTCCCGAGGGTAATGGTTATTATAGCATCTATGTCACCTGTAATATTAGAATTTATTATTAGTCTCTGTGATCATGATGTATTTATTGATTGGAATAAAAATATAGCTAAATAAGAGGATAGCCTATATTCCTTTCCATCCCAAATAGTATGTACATATATGCCAAATGTCGTGACGATTGGTTGAGCAAAGACAAGTGGGAATAATAAATAAACGAACTTACTTTCATATTTTTAATATCATTAAAGAAAAATATTCTTTATTGACTGCATTTTAGAAATTAATATAATAGTGCAATTTTCTGTTAATCAACCAATCAATAAATGTACTTATGTGGTCCAAATTATTGAATTGTTCATTACTAAAAAATTCCTTTTACTGTAGTTATATAACTTTAAAACATATCCGTTGCCATATCCAAAAGTATTGGGATCCTCGATGTCGACATTTCCAACCTTATCGAGTTCCGAGGTCAACTTGAAGACGGTGTCAAATTAGCGTCCAAAAAATTTGGGGTGCTATATTGAGCGAAACAGTACTTCATTTCTAGACAAAGACCATTGTTGTACAAGTCACAAGTTCGGTCTCTCATGGAATACTGCTCTGATCTGTGGGCTCTCGGTTCATAGACGAGTTTGACAGTTGTTGACTATACCAAGTTCTCAGAAGGTATCGAACCCTTAAGTACGAGTATAAAGCGTGATTTTGCCTCCCTTTGTGTGTTGTACTGCTTGTATAATTAATTATGTTCTAAGAAGTTATTCGAAATTATGCGTATAGTCATCCTTTATTATTACACCGCTTGTCATCGGCAGGGAATTAAAATTAAGTGATCGCGTACATTACGGTTTTAGAGGAATACTAACGTTTAAGCTGCGGAATGTACTTCATGCCGGGATATTCTTAGAGACTATGTATGGATTTCTTTAAAAATATTGTTTTAAAGTATCTTGAGAGTCGGCAAAACTTGATATTTAATTTTAATTCAATTATGTACTTACCGTATTTGGCAGTAAATTTTCCATTTCCTTTAATGGGCAGCATCAGTAACTGTCCGTAAAGAGCGTAATTTCCCTTCATTCTTAACTCAGGAATGTGAATCTTTACTACTACTTGGTGCTTTTTTGAATGTACTCTGAAATGAAAAAAGTAATTGTATGCATTGAATTATCTTTATTTTTCTTATAGTATCATATCACAATTTGTCACACGTCAACCCATTGGGATCTTTTTACTTCTTCCGGCCTTACTCTATTTTATAAATTTGTACATTGCCTTGCGATAACTCGCTGTTTAAGATACCTGTAATTTTCTGATAAACTCTGGTAAACTCTATATAAGATGGGCCTGTATTTAAGCACATTGAGAACGGTATATCTGGACCGTTCTCAGTATACTTACTATAAACTCTGCACAATGTGCTCAAAGACAGGCCCATCTTATACAGAGTTTACCTTACCGGCATGTGTCGCTACGAAGGCTTCTGTAATGGGTTGTGTCTGTTGTCTGCTTCCACTCTAGATAGTTTATATCATCCTTCTCAAACTGAACAAAGTTTATACTATGGGTATTAGGAACATATATGTACAAGCTTGAAATACTTTCTATATAAATTCATAAATATAATGTTTGTATTTTTATACTCTAGTACGTTTTTTACAGTCTTAGAGTTATTTTTAAAGTAAATCAAACAAATATTAATTAACAATACATATGTATTTAGAGAGTATAGTATCTAAACTCAGAGAAATAAAATTCAATTATGCACAATTTTATGCGATAAATTTAAATTAATATCTTTGCATCATTAGACAAGGACAATTCTTCTTTATCTATGTTAGTTTAGGCAAATCAATTAACTAATTTAAAAAACTACGTTTTAAAAAAAATATTTTTATTCATTAATAATGTCATCTTGTGAATGATAAGTAAAATAAATGGTCGACTTTTAACTTACTTAACATCTTTTACCCTCATAGAAGACGGTCCTTTCACGGTGACATCGGTGTACGATGACATCACCGAGATGGGCCCTGTGGACTGTTGCACTGACAAAGATGGGACCTCCAATGGCTCGCATGACGGTACTCCATACTCTGGTACACCTTTTCAAAGAAATTTCTAATTTTTATTCTTAATTTAATAAAATATGTATACATATGAAATGTCTTATCTACTCGACTAGTTATCGTATTAAAAAATATAGACAGAATAATTTATATCGAATTAAAAACTTCTGTAAACGCTTTGGATGATTCTTAAATGAGTAAAATCTTATGAGTTAGTATTACCAATATGTTAACGTTTGTAGTTTTCACTACTGTTCCAGAGTCACCAATGGCTGTTTTTGTTTGCTCTTAGTTTTTTTTACAAAATAGGTAGAAGGCACGAAGCCATAAATAAAGTCTAGCCTGATGTTGTAATTTCTTTTTATTTCTTTTTATTTATAAATTTTATAAAACTGGGTATTAAAACTATGTGTCCTCTGTGCTGTATTTGTGATACAAATACATACCTGTAGCTAATCGAGGAATGTAAGTGTTGAGTGCATCTCTCAAACAGCGCCCCAGCGCTTTCTCCTCACGTGGGCAGATGAAACCACCGACTAAATAAATAAATTTTTATTAATAGATCAGATAAAAATAATAAGAAATTTTTAATTTGAGATTTTGCTCAGTAAGAAAACAAACAGAAACTTTAATCGTGGCAAAATTGATATATAACAGACATGGGAACTAAACCGTTGCATGCAATAAAGAATTATTCTTTCGGTGACAGAAGAAATCATAATTGGCGAATATATATATATATATTTTTATACAACTTAGAATGGCAAACAAGCTGACGGTCCACCTGATGGAAAGTGGTAACCGTAGACATGAGCAGTAACATGGACATAACAAAGTATACTATTTTGCCCATCATACCCCCATGCGTTGCCATTCCTGAGGACTCAGGTGTTATTCCTCTGTACCCAGTAAATTCACGCCATATCCTACCCTTCAAACCGAAACACAGCCATGCAAACACAACTGCTTTACAGTTGAAACACGAATGGGACAGAGGTACCCAAGCAATCGACTTTTGTACAAAGTCGATTGCTTGTACGTGAAGCTGTGCAGTTTAGTACATTATTTAGAATTTAATTATCTCCAATTAATTGATTTTTTAATCAATATTATCAATATTTAAAATTATAATATCGTTAATATTTTTGTTATTTTGATTATCTGCATATTATTTGCAAAAATAAACGGGACGAAAAGAAGGATTGATTGTACAATTGTATAGAATATCCATTCTATCCTGAATACTAGACAATTATCTAAAAATGTTCAGATAGACGTAAATCTTGGAAGTAATCAAACTATTTATGTAATCATTTGTAACATAAGTTTTATTTATAATTGACGCTTACTTACAGTTAATCAGACTTTTCTGGAATGCAACGCTCGATTTAGCTAACACAATTACACATAACACTTTCCACATTGTAACGAAATGAATAAATGAGTTAAGTTAATCATTGTATTAATTATATACTAATCAGAACGTGATATATAAACTCTGAAACTATCTTAATTTTATCTCTCATCTTATCAAGACAACGTGCATGCCTCGTCGTCTCTTGCGAAATAAATAGTTGTAACATTTCTCTTTTTTATTAAATAGTTAGTGATACGGCAAATTTCATTTTGACCCCTACCACTGACTGGGTTCATATTGTTTTTATCAGAATAAAAACTACACTAAATATACTTTTACAAAATTTCATTGTAGTATTGTGATATTAAAACGTAACATTCAATAAAACATATGAAAATGAAGTGTCAAATACATTATTTTACTAAAGGGAGACTGTACAAAAGTCGTTTGCTTGGGGACCTCTGTCTCATTCGTGTTTCTACCGTGTAGCAGTTATGTTTTCATGGCTGTGTTGCGGTTTGAAGGATGGGATATGGCAGTGAATTTACAGGGTACAGAGGAATAACACCTGAGTCCTCAAGAATGGCAACGGATGGGGGATATCTTTTTTATGGATGATAACGGAATAGTAACCCCTGCTGCGCTATCTGTTTACGTTGGCGGGGCACCAGTGAACGATAATTGGTGAAGATGAAAAGGCAGGTTCGTTAACTCATCGTGACGAATTCAATGATAAATTAGTCACGATGGTTTCCAGGGGGAACCGCGTGGAGGACGACGTGATAGGGTGTATTGATAGCAATGAGAACTAACTTCTCGATTACTAACAATGCATGGAGTGTATCATGAGCGAAACAGTATACTCTATTATATCGATGGTAGTGCTCATGTCTATAGGCGACGGTTACCACTTTCCATCAGGTGGGCCGTCAGCTTGTTTGCCATTCTAAGTTGCGTAAAAAAAAATATTAAACTTTACGCATTTGAGTTCTATTGAAGTAGAAAATGTCAGCTATTATGCTACATCGCATATAGTTATAATAACAATTAACCAAGTACCATAATCACAGCTTTCGGTGACTTTATGTAAATACAACGTAGAAAACGGCCATTAAGGTCACCAAATAACATAGACTTCTATGATAATGCAAGCCGCATGCACTTTTAATGATGTCGTCACAATTGTATAATTTTAATTCTTCGACCTAGAAGTGAAGTGCAATCGATTCTCACCTCAATTTCGTTAAACGTTAAATTCAAACTTGAATAGCGGTTTATTTGAATCGCATGTTGTAATTCGACTCTTAGCGGTCACAGGCCTACGATTCTGTTACGTCATTAATGTAACAATCGTGAGGTTGCGTTTCCATTGCTTTGTACATTTGCATAAATAATTGATTATAAATTTTATCGCGACATGTCACTTGGAAAAAATGAATGAAAGAAGGGTTACGAAAGTGATATGCCGAGATAGATATGGTAGAGGCCGTCTACTTACCGAGTAGGTAACGTGCCAGGAAAGGGCCAAGTTAAAAGTATGTATCTATTCATAACTTGCGAACATGTAGGAAGCTTCACTTGTCTCTATTCTAACTACATAATTTTATATTATATGAAAAAGTGTTTTTTTTTTTTGTACTGTAACAAATTCGACTCTGACCAATAGTAAATTTATTACTATTAATTTAAACAAAAACTACTAATTAATTCTAGTGGTAGATGTTTGCCTGCCATATTGGATTTAAATATAGGTATCTACTCGCTGAAATAAATACAAGCCATAGTTTTATAACGAATATATTTTTTCTTATCATTTTGCCAAGGAGTACAAGACCGATCTACAAAATGCCTCTGACAGAGTTTGCAAGTTGAAACCTTCGCCAAAAGAAATTTATAAGTCACTTTTAAAATGCAAATTTCTTTAAAGATATCAATTTGTTGTAAAATAATTTAATTAAAATGTAAATTATGACAAATTTATCAACATATATTTGCATATATATTAATATATTCACAGATTAAATAAAAGATGTATTATTTTATTTAATCTGTGAATATATTAATTTTATAAATATTTTTTTCTTAGTTGCTTTTTTCACGTATTTACAATAAGCTTATACAAACAAAATCTATTCTAAGGATATAAACCCTTAATAAGTTGCCTTTTTTAAAGTCTAATTTTACAGGCAATAATATACTCATGTAACTTAACAGTCAATAAATATGTAACTAAAAGTAAAATATTTACACAAATCAATATAAATTTTTTTAATTTTCTAAAAATATACAGTTATTATTTCATTCTAATGAATAATGGCTATATATATATATATATATATATATATATATATATATATATATATATATATATATATATATATATATATATATATATATATATATATATATATATATATATATATATATATATATATATATACATATACATACATATATATATATATATATATGTATATATTTACATATTGCTCTCACTGCAAATATAAAAATGGTTTAATCAGGAAAGACCATTTCGGGGGGGATATGCTTCAGGAACTTATTAGCAACGTCTTCTAAGACCATAGATAATGCTGTCTCCACAGCGGGTTGGACTTCCTTTAAGACTTCACTCGTGTGCATGGACATGATGTGATCTGTGATCATTTCTGAAATAAATAGCCATTTTATATACACGCCCTAGAGGAATAAAAATATTAGAGATTTTCAGCAATATCAAATACCACCTTTTACCTGCAACTTTGTCCACATGACTGGGATATTTTGTATAATCGGGTTACAATAGTAATGTATGTCCTTCTCTGACCAAAACAATATGTGTATACAAAATTTCATGACGATTAATTAACTATATCGCTAAGAGGTAACAAACACACTTTCACAGTGAACAAGTGTCATTGCTTGGGTACCTCTATACCACTCATATTTCTTTTGCTAAGCAGTTGTACTTGCATGATTTTGTTTCGGTTTGAAGAAGATATGGTAATAAAAAGCAGGATAAAAATATTACAGCACAGCATGATTATCATATCAGCCATTACCTGTCCACTGTTGAACATAAGAACATAGGAAGGTTGCCACGCTTGGCAGGCGGGTTGTTTGTAATGGATGATAATGGAATGATAATCCCGCCTGCGCTAACGGTATACGCTGGCTGGGCACCAGTGACGGATAATGATGAAAAGGCAGGTCAGTTAGTTCATCGTGATGAATACACCTGAAAATCAGCACGATGGCTTTCAGGGCGGATCACGTCGAGATCGATATGACAGAGTATATTGCTAGCGATAGGACTGATGGTCCGCATTATTAATACTCCCTTTTCTGGGCAGGCGAGTTGGCAATTGCAGTTAGGTAGAGATGCTGCTGCAATTCCTCGACTATTAAATTCACTTAGTTACCTCATACGATACCCAAGAAAAGGATTCGGGGAACACAGTTTACAAGCACGATGTTTAGCGGCGTGATTTTAAAGTTTTCTACATGAGAGACAATGTGTATACAGAGTTTATTATTATTGCATTATTCCAACGAACCCATTTCGTTAGTAGTAGAATGCGCCTCATCCAGCCTCCCGTTTAATGCTCCAGTGCACCGTAGACGGACATCCGCATCTTTGATCACCATACGTTTGTGTACCCGAGCACCTAAAGCTACCAAGGCCGCTGTACACATCGCTGTAAAAGAAGATATCAATTACCTTATATGTTCTCTCTGTATAACTCTATAATACCACGCCCTTTAGACAAGTGGCAAGCGAATTCGTCGATGGAATCGACATCACTAGCAAGTCCGTGAGTTGGAATGAGACATTCGTCATTGCTATTTTATTCTATTTCACGGACTCGCTAGCGATGTCGATTCTATCTACAAATTCGCTTGCTGCTTGTCTAGAGGGCCAGTACTGTCGACTGTTTATGTAGACACAATTCTTATTTTGAACTACCAGACGGCGGCGGGCGACCTACCACCACCTATTGGATAATTTTTTTTATCAGAAAAAGAAAATTTTTATATTTTTCCGAATAATTTTTAAATTCTTTACTTTTAAAAACATTCTCGGGCTTCAATGAATAATAAAAAAACAGAGTTAACAATTAATTTTATTTTAATAGATAGATATTTTTTTTATTTCGACTCAATTTTCTTTACACGATGCATACACAGCACAGTGGTTACAATTTCCTTATATGTATAGACAAAAAAAAAATATTAATAATAATTAATCCTAATTTAAAAAATAATGATCACTCACTAAAATTTGCTGACAGTTTCCCAGTGGATTCGACGGGTAACATTTGAAAGCTCCCAAGTATCACGTAGTCTGCAGACACATCGAGTTTAGGCAGACTTATATTCGCTGTTACTTTCATTTCCTCTGGGTAAACACTGGAACAAATTTCAACTTTCAAATAAACAATACCGTACCATACACTGAACGTGTGTGTCCTAGCATAGAATAGATCACCCATTTTTTCCTCTTAGGTATCAAAGAAAGTCTTTCTTTCTTTCTTCTTTCTAATAGGCGACTAAGGGAACTTATAGTCGAGGGATGGGAAGCAATGTCCTTCTTAAAACGTATCTTAAGGCCTGTCTGCGGTTGCAAACATGCTTGCCAAGCGTGACAACTACTGACAAAACCCCCTAATAGGTGGAGGTCTATATACAGTAGGGGAAGGCTAACAATTGATATGATGATAATAATGATGGAACCATACATATGGAACATAGGAAACGAAATTTTCTAAATTAGCTCGGATATGAATGTTCTGGGTTATGCCCGCAGATATTGTTTGATATCTCGTGTCTTATACGACAAATACTTACTACTGTTATAATTATGAAAGTGGATTTGCTTATTTGTTCCTTTATAGCGCTTTAACAACAATCATTATTAAATTTATTATACATGTACTATATGAGATGAAGAAGGATATAGGCTATGGTCACGCGGACGAAGTCACAGGTAACAACTAGTATTATAATAATTAGATACTTACTCTAATTTATTGAAGGAGAAATTCGTTAGCCCATCCAATACGATATCTGAGAGCCAAGCGTCGTATTTGAATGCGTTTTTCGGGGCGTTGTGTTGCCGTAACCTGATGCTTGGGACTTTGAGTGGTTCCAATGGCTGTATACCTATCGACGGTACCCCTTGAGCGAGGAGATGCCTTGCTTGTTCAGCCATGCGTTGAATGCACTGCGCAACATTCGGGTCACTGTAGTGGCATACCGACGGTGTCACTTTCCAAGAAATTAACAAAATATTATAGGTATCATCACAGTTATTGACTAGTGAAGAACTAACTTAGATATTGTTAAAGTACATTGAATATCCGACTTCGTTCTGCATATATACTATAATATTATTAACTTTGTTAATAAAGGGAGAAAGAGATGAAATATCTGTCTACTTTCAGACAGACCTATCACAGCAAAGAGAATAAAGTTTCAAACTAGTTAAAATTGTTTACAATAAGAATAAATGTTAACTTCTAACTTATTATAGCTACGATCTTATTCCAGGCTATCTCATAATAATCAAAACAAAAGTGGTGCAGTGATCAGAATTATGAATATGTACTTACTTGATTTGTCCGCATTGTTAAAATAAGTCTTATTTGTTTCCACCCGTCTTCCATTCACTTGATAGAAATAAAATACCAACAGGATAAACTTTAGCAACATGGTTGAGCAATCTCCAGTAACTGAACTAGTTCTAGGATTTTAGATGAAAAAATATGCCTTTATAAAAGGTATGGACTAGTAGCCAGTGCATGCCATATATGTGGAATATGCAACCTCGCTTTGTAGGCCCGAGGAGAGGTCACTAGAAATATTTACAACGTCACTACAATGTTCTTCTTTATAGAAATCTTGCATGTTAAATAGTTTATTTAAAATAATATTTATTTTTTACAGATTGTATATCTATAGATTCTATTGCGAATACTTAAAATAAAGATCGTAATTTTAATTAGTATTCACGTTTTGTCCATTGTATTTTATTATTTTATACATCGTTATGTTTTAATGTAAATGTAACTCATGTATTTCATATTATTTTGCATATAATCTCACCTCATGCATATCATATGCTTGCAAATTATATTGACCCATGCACTCTGTATGCTTACATGTTAACCTTGTCCCATACAAGTTGTAAGCTTATATGTGTAATTACTTTATGCATTTTTTAAGAAGACCTAAAAGTAAATTGAATGTAACAAAAATATTTAACGAATTTTATATGCAAAAAGGTAAGTGTACCTTCATATCATATTATCGTAATAATACATAAATACAAACTTAAGTACTTATATTTTTCCTTAAATCTTTTAGGTATATTACAATTGGAGAGAAATTTTTATTTATTTATTTTATACTAGCTTGTACCAGCGACTTTGTTCCCGTGACTGGTATGCATTTACTGACCAAGTAAAAAGTAGGTTTTATTCTTAAGCCGTTAAGGTGCTATAAGGTAACAAACGACCTCACTTTCACATTGATAATATTAGTAAGGATTTAGTATGCAAGAATCTCGAGTACAATAAAAAAAGAAATATGGTGTCATGAACAACTTGATCGTTAAGAAAATACTGAGCGTCTAAGTGTATTGAAATTATGTAAATTTTACTAACTCACTATCGACAGCTACCTCAGCTATCCCTAAACAGCCATTTTTTTTTATACCACAAAGGTGACAAACATGTATACAGCCCATCTGATAAACGGTCACTGTAGCCTATAGATGCCTGTAACACCAGGGGTGTCACGTACATGTTGCCCACCATAAAAAAACCGTAGTGTATCCTTTTTAAAGAACCCCATACTCTAGGGAAAACTTCGGCATTCCACAGTCTGAGTGTTCGTGGGAGAAAATTTCTCTGAAACTGCATTGTACGTGATCATTTAGGTTTAAGTGTGTGGGGATGAATTCCCTTTCGATGGCGAACGGTGCGATGATAAAAGGTGTCGGTGGCTATTATACTTTCGAATTATTACTATTACATGTCAGAATGTCAAAAACCGCTCTAAATGCAGTCAGTTAAAATGACATTTAATAGAATGAATTTAATTCCACCAAAATTGAATTTTCCAAAAATTCGTCCAACTATTGATGCGTTGTTGGATCTCACAGTAGGTATGTTCTATTCATGTTATTACGAGTACATGATTACTGGCAGTCTACATTTAGGTACTATTATGTGATGTAGTATGTTTTTTTTATGGGTTGATAATGGAATATGGAATTATAAATTATAATTTATAACTCAATAATTTATTATTATGAATATTATTATATAATATACTTAAATATGATGGTATATTTTTGTTTTAAAAAAGAAAAAGTCAAATGTTATTTGTGTTATTTTTTTTATTTTCAATCATAAATATAAAATAGTGAAACATAATACATTTTATTATAAATTGTATTAAAAATAAAGTTATTAAAGTAGCTATGGCTGTAATCTAAGCTGTAATATACATTAAGAATAATCAACCATAGAGGCTACATGAAAAAATTTAATTGACAATTGCACTGTGATAAATTGGAAGTAAGTTATTTGAACAGAAAGGTATAAATGATTTACTTCTAGTCTATGCCTTAAAACTACGGATCACGGAATTGCTAATAAATTATACAATAACAATATTAACAATATAAATAGGTACTTATAGCTTTATACAAACAACATTTCCTTATAAATTTACCTGCGATTTACTATTGTAATAAATGTTGACTGAAAAATACAACGCAACAAAACGGTCCAGCCGCGTTTAATCAATTTAACGTCTTTAAATTTACCTCTGTAAATTCACGCCATACATACAGAGGAATAACATCTGAGTCCTCAGGAATGGAAACGCACGGAGAGTATCGTGGGCGAAACAGTTATGTTATGTCCATGGTACTGCTCATGTCTATAGGCGACGGTTACTACTTTTCACCAGGTGGGCCGTCAGCTTGTTTGCCATTTTAAGTTGTATAAAAAAAATATTTTCATTTGAAAGCTAAACTACTGAACAGTTTTTGATAAAATTTCTATGAGGCCAATTTGTAAGTATATCTTTTCAGGGAATAAAAATAATTTATCAAAACGGTTTACAATTGATGGAGTTACGAGGTAAAAAAATACAACCGAATTGAAAACTTGCTTCTATTTGAAGTCGATTGTAAATATAATATTTCATTATCTTGCCTCAGTCCAAATCAGTGCAATATTTTCCCCGTTTACTTCATAAATTGTATAATATTTATAAATTTTAATATAACATAAAAAAATTACCTTTTTGCTCCCGGCATAGAATAGGCTACTTCTTTTTTTTCCGTGGGTATCGTCGAGAGATGAGCAGCAGTGCCCCTCTTAAAACGTCACCAAAGCAGTTGCCAACACGATTGTCAAGAACAGCAAGCGTGTTGGCAACCGCACTACTGACAAAACTACCCAAAGACACGGCCTTTGTTCAGCAGTGGACAGTTAACGGCTGATACGATGATAATAATTTAATTAAATATATATTTAAATATGTATTTAATAGCATATATATATTTAATTATATATCTACCTACTAATGCAACTTGTGTATACTATGTTAATTTTTTTTCGACATTGCTAACTCAGGCGGAGTGAAATTTTTAAATGGTTTATACTTCTAACAAATCAGCATTATTTCCGTATACAGTTACATAAAAAATTAAAAAAATTAGTGAAAACTCAAATATATCTAGATATATACAAATATATCTACAATCCTACTTTAGCTACGAAAGAGACTCGTAAACAAAAACATTACTTAGGTACGATATAAAGATATAAATTTAGAAATCTTATAATTAATCAATGGTTTATTAAAATTATTTATGTTCAATACAATAATAATAATAATCATCATATGTACATTACAACAGCTGTTTTTGATGATTATTTCCTAAGTTATTTATTTGACTGTTGACTGTGTTTTACACAGCCACAGTTTTTTTAATATTGAAACAACAACACATACCTAGTTATCACATTCTTTTTATTTATTTTTATCAAAATATTTAAAGAAAGAAAGGGAGTAATATTCTTGGAGATCGTTACAGCAAACTCCCTTATGTTCTCCAAAAATATTACCTATACTATTCATTATCTTAAAATAATAAATAAATACATAAAACACTTGCGATATCTCGAGGTAATGGGCACATGTATCCCTCTAACGATAACAATGAAATGCAAGTGTTAAGACTATTGCTATAGGGCTTATAATCTTTTACCACGTAGTCAGACTTAACTCTAATTTGTACTTATGCTGCAGGTTCATCGTCTATCAATACTTCTTTAATAGGTATTGAGCCCAGGATTTTGTTAATGTATTTCTTAGCAATAGCTGCGCTGGTCTCGTCTATCAGTGGGCCGATGACGTCAAGCACAATTCTTGGGCTGGCGTTGAAGAAGGTAGCTGTAGAGGCACCTGAATAGAAAGTATTGAGTAATTAACTTATTTTATATTTTTAGATTACCGGGAGTACCACAGGTTTTCTATATCACAGTGTATTCTGTGCATATCTATGGTGATATCTATCTCTTGTCATAAACCTTTAGTTACCTTTGTTTTAAATTATTTATGTACAGTAATTGTATTAATCTTCTAGAAATCGGCCTGACTAGCGACTATGCTTCAAAGGAATTTTCTTCCGCGAACGCTCATGTTATGGAATGAACTCTGCCGAGATTTTCCCTAAAGATACAGTATGGGGATTTTCAAAATTTTTGTTTTAATATACCCTTTATTTAGGTTTTTTTAGGGTCGGCAACGCGTACGTAACACCCCTAGTGTTGCAGTCAATCATAGGTTACAGTAACCGTTTACAAAGGCTGTGTTTGTTTACCACCTTCATGGTATAAAAAAAATTATGTTAACGCTGCATTTTGCGCATATATTTTAAAAAATATATGCGCAAAATGCAGCGTTAATGGCCTTTTAAAATGCAACTTAACCGCTGATTGCTGATGCTAAATATATTACATTCTACTGGATCATAATTGAGACAAAAGACATGTAAATATCCATATCATCAATAAGCTCTTTGGACAGTAGGTAGAGAGAATATATGTTTCAAATATATTGTTAACCCCATAAAAAATAATCTTAAAAGCAAATGAGCCAATAAGTGCAATTCCTTCTCAGTACCTACATCCATTCAGTTTCTAAATGCTAAATTCTCTATAAGAAATCAAAAACTCACCAACAAGAGGTCTGTCGGCGTCATCGACTGCTACTTGTGCATTATTGATTCTCACTTTAGTAATAACTTTTTCTGCCTGAAGATACTCCACTCCTTCCTTCTCTATTGCTTTAGCTACACCTTTAGCTACTACTGTTATGCCGGCTGTTGACAATAGTTTAAAATCAATAAAGATACTTACATGTTAAAATTACTTGTATGAATACAGAAAAAAAAATCATGCAAAAGTCACAGTGTTACAGGTATCTCTGCTTGAAAAAAGCCCGAATTAAATACTTATTTGAACTTTGTCAAGTAATAACAAATCATCAATCTGTACGAACTTAGTGGTCAAACAACGATAAAAAAAAGTTGGCTTGATTTTGGCAATACGTTTGTAAGAAGACACTATTTAGAGGTATACGATATGTACTTATTATGGAAGTACGTTTCGGATTGCGTGTGAGGTAACAAAGGAAATAGGTACCTACATTGAGTAGGTATAACGCATTGACTTAATAAGTCGGTTTTTAAGTAGTGTGTCGACACCTTGAATGATTTAGTTTTGTTAACCCTTGCATAGTAAATAACATTCCATATCAGAGTTTCACAACTATGTCTTAAATTAGTCAGTTTTTATTAATTAAATTAGTATTTAACGATTAAAAAATAATAATCGTTAAAATCAACTTACAATGTAATATAATTTGTAAATTCCATAATACTATAAATGTCTATAGATTATGGTTGCCACCATTAATCAGATGGTACTCGTATTTCAGCTTGTAAAGAAACATAGATGTTGTATAAAAAAAAGAAAAATATAGTTCAATTTGTAGTCATTATCCTTATTTTGTAAATTGTATATTTTATAAATGTATTTTGCTTTACAAGAAGCAATTTTTGCAGTGCAAAAAATTTTTAAACATACAATCGTTACAAAATGAATATGGGACCAACACGGAGGCAAATTCTACCCATTACAATAAAAATAAAAATTTATTTCTTTAACAGTCTTACAAACATAACTCAATATCATGTTATGTGGTCCCGGCAAAGAATGGACCGACCTTTCCTTTCCTATGGGTGTCCTAAGAGGCGACTCCCTTGACTTAGCTCCCTTAGCTTAATGATCGAGAGATGGACGACAGCGTCCCTCTTAAAACATCATCAAAACCATAACTGTGGTTGCCAACCTGTCTACCCAGCATAGCAACAACTGGCAAAATCCCACAATAAGGGGAGGCCTATGTTCAGCAGTGGACAGTTAAAGGCTGATATGTTGATGATGAGAATTGATAAAAATTGGTCCAGTATTGGCAACTTATTTACGTAACACAGTTGCAAAAAAAAACAAACGAACTGAGAATATGCTTCTTTCGTTGAGTGGTTTAAAAATATTAAAACTCTTACTGAAATTTCCCTTGAGTCTTCCTTTCCCGTTGATGTCAAGAGTGAGCAGCCGGGAACCTTGGACGTCGTAATCAGCGATGACCATCAACTTGGGGAGTGTAACTTTTACTTCAGCCGCGTACTTGTTATTTAGATTGAGTCTGAAATTTTCAATCAAAACAAATCAGTATATAATATATACGTAGATAGATATTTAATTTCTTAATTATATTAGCTACTAAGTTTTTACATTATTTTTTTTTTGTATTGTATATATTTTCTGAGAAATAATTCATGCTGTATTTATTTTTTAATAGCATAATAGGTTCCAATTCATGCAGATAACAAGCACGGATGATTTTAGTAAGAAAAAAAAGTGCACGAAAACAAAAAAAAACTGTTTTGATTTTAGAGTAAAATATTACACACACATATATATATATATATATATATATATATATATATATATATATATATATATATATATATATATATATATTAATAGGTATTTTTATACAATGTTACTATGATACTACTATGTTACTACTATGGACACCAGAGTATAAATAAATGAATGAATGAAAAGACTTTTTTGTTCCCTTTAAAAAATGACACAGATTATAAAAATTACAATATGCACACAAACGAAATAAATAATTAATTACATAAACTGAATTACATAAAAGCAAAATAAAGAGACAACAATGGACGGTCTTATTGCTATACAGCGATCTCTTCCAGGCAACCTTAGGATGGAAAGAAATAATTTAAATCACAGTATACAATGATATCCATGGTACTACTCATATCTATAGGTGATTGCTTTCCATAAGGTGGGTCGTTAGCTTGTTTGCTGTTCTATTATTGCATAATTTACGAATTTATTTACACCACTGAGGTGGTAAGCGTACGGCCCGCCTAATGGTAAGAAAGTATATCACCGTAGCCTATAAACACCTGTAATACGAGTATTAAGGGCATTATGAGCACATTAAAAACTCTGAAGAACCGTAAATAATTAAATTAAGTTAATTAATTAATAAAGTTTATTATGAAAAAAAAAAAACTTACTTTAGCTTTTCGATCTTGAAATTGCTAGCTCCAAATGCTTTAGCCTGCTTTATAGTAGCTTTCAGTCTGAGATTAGGAACATTTCTGTCTAGTTTCAAAGTAGGTACAGTGAAAGGTTCAATAGGAGGGATGTTGACTTCGGGTATACCTTTTTCAAGGTATGGCCTCATGGCTTCTATTCCGTCTAAGATGCATTTGTTTATTTGAGGGTCACTCCTTTTACATGCTGGGAAGTAATCCGCTACAAAATAAAAAACAAACAATTATTATTTACGAAACATCTAGATTATTTGTATTACAAGTATTCTAAAAATAAATGTACATAAAATAAATTAATTGACTTAATTGTCACAGAATGGAAAAATTGTTAAATAAAAATAAATAATTTATAAAATAAACAAAATTGAATATAATTACGTACATAATCTATTTAATTAGTAATATTGTTAAATATTACACCTATTGTTCCGATAGTAAGTTAATTTTTAATTTCTATAAATTGAATCTCTGATCAGTACATCATACAAATCTGGTATCATCTAATAATATTATGAATATTATTTAAATATAAAAGGATCTAAAAGTTTAATGATTTCTATAGACAATGGTAAAATCTGCGCTTCATGAGTTGCATTTAATATTTATTAAATGCAAATCCTGAAGCGCAGATTTTAATTATTAAAATAGAAATTCATTCTAGAAGTAAACGAATAATGCATTTGCTCAACCATTTATGCATCTCATTCGAATTTACAGTCGAAGTATTAAAGTCGCTTTTCTAAAAGTAACAGTCTTAAATTTTAACTATAGAGGAAGTTCCGTAACACCAATACATTTATTATCTCAATTAAACACAACGTGTTCTGCTCGAAAATAATTAAAACATTGTAGTATCACAACAATGTATGATAATGGAATACTGCTTAAGATGACATGCGTGACATCTATAGTTTGAATTTACTGTCAAAGTATCAAAGCAACATTATAAGACACCACGCCGGCATACACAGACCAACAGTGTATGCCGGTTGCAAACCCAGTGACCCGGAGGTCGTCGTCTCCAGAGTAGAAGCCGGGGTAATGGTGTACGCCCCGAGGCCCCTACCTCGCCCACCCACACATCATCCGGCGGGCAAGAGAAAACCATGTTGTTGTAAGCAATATTATTAAATCTTAATAATAAAACAACATACAACAAAATAAGAAGAGACCCTTAAAAAGCATTATCATCATCGATTCACAATTGTCGCAAATGTCGCATAACATGCACAAAAAAAAGTAGAATTGAGACCTCTATTTTTTAGGACTATTAAAAAGTAATTGTTACCAACATCCAGTTTCGCAATATGATTTCATAGCTCATATCTACAGATAATGATATAACTGATCATAGACTATGACCATAGACTATATTATTATTTGTCGTTATTTCTCCATAATGCCGCCTAACATTCTCAATGACTGGAACCACCTTGCCCTTATTATTCTTCCATTCAATACGTAACTATACACTTTTATTATCATATGTCATTATACAGTTATTGTTTGTAACTTGAATAATTAAAAATCAAAAACATATTCACGTAACCTTTATATACTTATACTATATTTTAATGGTTTTAGGTCCTATGGTTGTAACTTCGTCTATCCTTCTGTATACTTGTCACCGCGTTATATCTAAGTAACTACTAATACTGTCTATTTAAAATTTGGATTAGGTGTGAATGAAAAAGAGCATTGTCACATTTCTTCGTCGCTACACGTTGATTTCTTTTTCCACAATACACAATTAATCTTATAAAGTTATAACTTTTTATACGCAACGCACGTATTAACATATTGCGGACACTCTGTTAATTATGACAGAGATAAAAAGTAGCGCACATCCTTGTCCGTCCCATATAGTACGTGTATACCAAAATTTATAGTGATTGGGTTAGCTGTTAAGGTGCTATGCGGTAACATTACATTTATAATATTAGTAAGGATTACTGAAAATTATTACTTGTAGAATTTGAAGTAATGATAAAAAAATAAATATAAACAGCAGGTATAATTAAAAAAAAACCATAGTAAATAATTTTTTTTATTTACATATGAAATTTAAAACTTCCTAAAAGTTAATGGGAAAAAATGACATAAGATTATATAAAACTATTAAAATTAACGGGCCGTGTGTTCCTGGTATAGAATAGGCCACCCCTTCCTTTCCCGTGAGTGTCGCAAAAGACGACTAAGGGACGGCAAGGGACGGACAGCAGTGTCCCTCTTAAAATATTTCTAAAGCCTGACTGCGGTTGCCGAGTTGTCCGGCTGCCTAGCGTGACAACTACTGGCAAAACCCCCCAAGGGGGAGGGTTATGTTCAGCAATGGACGGTTAAGGGCTGATATGATAATGATTTAGATTAACAAATGACTGATTGCTCATTATTATATATATGGATAACGTAAAACCTCCGTAACTTTCCTAAAACCTCTTTAATTATACACTAACGATCCAGCCCGGTTTCGCACGGGTAGGTAGAGTTTTTTAAAATATTATATTATCTATATTACTCGCTGGTAATATTGCTTTTTGTAGATGAAAGAATTTTTAAAATAGGTTCAGTAATTTTTGAGTTTATCCATTACAAACAAACAATCAAATATTTCCTCTTTGTTATATTAGTATAGATAAGATACATATGGACAATCAAGTCACGTAACGAATTTATACGTATCATAAATAATAAAATATATAAAACAAAAGGTCATACATTTATATATAGAATATTATATAAGGAGCATACAAAAGACGTTAATTATAAACATTGAGTATGGCTACGTAATGTATGTATGTAATTTGTATTTAAGACTTGTCCCACATACGAGAGTTTAAGAACTAGACTTCCTTGAATGGCGTTAGATTAACAGCGAACAACCTTGGAACTGCACTAAATCTGCGAAAGTAAACTTTAGCTACTAAGTAGTCAAAATTTATTTATGTTCTTGTATTTATTGATCTAATATCAGTCTAAAAGGCTATATTTAAGCTGTTCTAATTTTAAAGTTACAAAAAATGTTACATTCTCTATGACAGGATAAAGTTTTACTTATATAAAATAGATATACGTACAAAAAATTTGAAAGATTGAACGATCGACCAGGTCAATTTAGAACATTCGTAAATTGGCTCGTGTCGAGTAGTTCTGAATTATAATAACCTTACACATTACATTTTGGTTTAAGTAATTGAGCTATATATGGGATTTTTTTTATTAGTAATTATTATTTTTTAAAATGTATCCGTGTAAATTTTAACACTAAAATAAACAGTATTAGTAATTGAAGAATTGAGTATTAAAATTTTTAGCTATTTGATTTTAATAATGATCAAACACAGCGTGTCGATGCATGATTTAATAAAATATTAAAAGATTTTATTCGCAGCAAATTACTTCATTTCAGATACTAAGAATTCAAAGTAAGCAACTAGAATCTAATAATATAATTTATAAAAATGTAAGACATACAAAAAAATATATATAAAAAATATATATAATATAAAATGTATATATATATATATATATATATATATATATATATATATATATATATATATATATATATATATATATATATATATATATATATATATATAAGAACAATACTAACATCGAATAAGCATAATAAAATATAGTACTTAAAAGGTATTTCCAAAGAATAAAGTTATAACTTCCTCGTAAAAAAACACGATACTTATCTATTTAACAATAATAGAAGGCCGAGACTAGAATAATACTCGTATGCAAATATTTGTGAATGGAAATGACCAATATTTAATTTAACAATTACTTGTTTTTCTACTATTGTAGTAGTTTTTTTTTAAATACGAATACATTGTCAATATATACATATATATTTTTTATATATATTTATTAAATTATGCTTATATTCTTTAGCTTTTGTGTGTTTAAATTATTTTATCTTTTATTTTCAAACATGAAAAGATGGAAAAGTATAATTCGCTCTCATACAAAGGGAATTAGTTTTTTTTTAAGTTGTATTGACAGAATTAAAGTATAATTAAATTGATTAAATTAATTATTTACGAAATATTGGTAACCAACAAGATATTGTATTTTTTCGAATCGATTTCATATTGGTTGATATAAAATTATAATTGCTTTTTTTCCCCTTAAACAGAGGGAAGACAATGACTTTACTTAAATTTAAAACAACGGAATGCAATTTATTATATGTATTAAAATTCATTATTTATTATATACATTTTACATCTAAATTTATATAAATAAAATAATAGTAAAACAATTAGATAATTCCTGCCCTTATCCCAATGAATTGGAGTCGGCGTAATATATTAATTAAATAACATAAATAATAAATATTTATTGCACTAAAGTCAATGACCTATGTAGATGAAGATTTTTTATGATAATAGGAAACGTTTTCAGCAATCTCAAATGCATGTAATTGCACAAATGCATTTGAATGTAGTACTGTTTTACATTAGATTAGATTAAAAGCTGTATCTTTATTAAAATGAAAAAAAAAATACGTAATTCGAAGCCTCGTTATATGAAAGTCATATTAAAGTCATCTAGATACGCGACAGCGTGTCCAACCAAGTTTATATTTTGCTAGACGGTACAACAGTAGTACATTCAAATGCATTTTATTTATGCAATTATAAGCATTTTAATGTACTACTACTACTGTTTTACAAATAAATCAGATCAAAAGCTGTATTTTTTATTAAAATAAACAAATACATAATTCGAAGCCTTGTTATATAAAAGTCATCTAGACACGCGGCAGTGTGTTCAGCCTAGTTATACTTTTGCTAGACAATACTATGTAATGATAATTTATTATTGTTTAATTATTAACAGAACATTATCATACGAGTAGAGAGATACTTGGCATACTTATTTGCTTGTGAAGATAAACTCACAAGCATAATTATAATAATTTGTTCCGTGTTTTGTGTAGTAAATTTTTTTTTTAATTAAAAAGCCCTATATTCTCGTTTTTAATATTTTAAAATGTCTCACAATTGAAGCGCAATATAAGTACATTTACTATTATGTTATGGAACAGTGCAAATTTCAAACATTAACTAGAACTAAGATCTAGGTCACTGTATCATATTCGTAATAGATTATCTTTCGATTGTAATTTAGAATAAGTAGTGAAATTACGACATAATGTTAAATAATCATGTATGTTATGCCAGTATGCCATTTTGTGCCGTGTAGTCCTAGTATAGAAGGGCCATCATTTTCTTTCCTGTGGATGTTGTATGAAGTGATTAAGGGAATGTAACGGTCGAGGGATGGGCAGCAACGACCCTCTTAAATCATCACTGAAATCTACTCAATAGGAAACTGCCATAAAGAATGGCCCAGTTCCTTATGACGATCAGATATACAAAATATACCAATATAATACAAAAAATATTAAGTAAAAAAGTTTAGTGTTGTTATTCCTAGGAAAACGGTTAAGTGTATAAAATTCAATACAATGCAAGTGTAAAGTAAATGTAAAAGAAGAAAAACTCGAAAACAAACGTTTGGATAGCCAGATTTGTATAATAAGAAATTGGTACCGATCAATGGGATGTCAGTAAATTGCTACGGTCATTGTAGTATCCACTATACGTATTATATAATGAATAATTTAAATTTTATATTTATATTTATCACGATCATAATAGACCGTGTTCTAATTCTAGGAGGAGTCGAGGATTTCCGAAAGCAACATGCATGAGACGAATCATGATAATGTATTAAGAAAAAGTAAGAGATTTATGTAAAGATACTTTCCTATAAAACTCGACTCTCTCTTTCCTTAAACGATATAGCGTGTATATAAAAATATATTCCATAAAAATCAACTCTATTGTGACAAAAATATAATATTACCTACACACTGAAATTAATATTGAAAGTTTTTGTTAAAGTGAATCATAAAAATCCATGCAGAATTTATTAATATTTTGTATTAGATAATCGCAAAAAATATCGGTGAATTCTAAAAGTCAATTGAAAAGTTAATATAATTATTTATTCATCAGTAACAATGTAGGTAACAATTGCAGCCGATCATAAATTTACGCTTTGAGAATATACATTTATCACCAAATCCCATTTAATTACAATGCAAATTGGTGATTAGATTGACAACAGTTTTTTTCAATTTGTCAACAATGCAAATTTATTCCATATTCAAGTCTTTTTAAACCGATTAAGAAGTTATTTGTTATTATAATTGTTTATCACTTTGATCCACTTTTATTTATCTTTTTATCTTTTTATTTCATTCAAAATGTTAAGTAAAATAATTTCAATTTATAATATTTCAGTACAATTTTGTAACTAATTGTCTATAAACAAATATTCTAATTTCTATTATTAATTAATTGTGCAAAAAACGTCATGTATACATATAAGGTGACATCGAAATTATTAGCATCATTTTGGGAGGGAGGATCTTTCATCCTTTTTTTGTATACAATACTAAAAACTTTTCCTTAAGAAATATTGATCGAAAAACAAAAATAAATTTACTGCCTTCTATACAACTTGACGCTTAGATTTTTTATTGTAATTTTTTTTGTCCCATGTAATAGGAACTGTTTTCTTTAATAATACTTGGCAATGATTTTAGAAGAGAAAAAATCCATATTTAACAGTTTAGTATAATAAATATTATAGAATACACGTTTATACATAGTTGCATACATTGTTGTTGAAAACTATGAAGTAAATTAAACTGTAAATAAACAGCGTCTGTACACGCATCACGCAAAAACCTAAGCATGCGCCATTCAAAATATACTGAACGGATTTTGATAAAATTTCGAGTTGAGATAACATAGAACCCGCGTCAATGTGTAGGATAATTTTACTACAAAAAAATATGTTAGACCTATAGAAAAACACACGCGCAGTACTTCACAAATACAGCTAGTGTAAAATTAAATTTATTAAAGAAAAAAAAAAACAAAAATCTAAGAACATTTTTTTTAAATCCACGGTAGTCTCCAGATGTTTCCTTGGACAATCTATAATATATCCCACAACAAAACTCAAGGATAACAATAAAATAAACGTTATACTCACGAGCAACTTTTCCGTAAATATTTGCAACACATGCAATTAAAACAATTAGCACCTTCATTTTCTTAATATATTAATTTATAAATAAACAAACTTATTAATAATAAATCTATTTTGATGTGCACTTAATTTGGCAGTATCTCGCAACTGAGTCTGAAAGCGAATGTGCTGCGGCGACCAAATTTCTGTTATTTGTATAGCAAGGGAATGGCGCGCCTTCGCCGCGCCGTTGGGTAAGCAGGATGAAACAAAGAACGAGCAAGAAGTAGTAATAACGATATCCATTGACAATACTAGTAGTAAATATTGTTCATATTGGGAAACGATATTGATTGAAAAGTTAGTAGGTACTATATAATTTTCACATCCCAACGATGTGATTTTTTTATTTCTGTCTAAAATTTCGTATACACTGCTTCCATAAATATCTCAAATATTCTGAAAAATTTTGAAGTTTTATGTCAAAACAACCCCTTATATGCTGTTGATAAGGAGTTTTTTTTAATCAAATGAGCCCGCAATTATCACCCTGGTCAGCTGGTTTGGTATAAGTAGGTATAATTAATAAATAGCTAAGTATTCTAAAGGTCATGTGTTTCGTAATTAGGATTATTGTCCATCTCAATCTACAGACAATAATAGACTATGCATGTAACAACAGACTAAATGAGGAGTATTTAAACGGGAACTTGGCTCTGACAGTGCCAAACACAGCATAGGAGACTGTCCACAACAGACTACCACTAGGTTGATTGACTTTTTTTTATACAACTTAGAATGGCAAACAAGCTGACGGCCCACCTGATGGAAAGTGGTAACTGTCGCCTATAGACATGAGCAGTATCATGGACATAATAGAGTAGACTGTTGCGCCCATGATACCCCCCATGCATTGCCATTCCTGAGGACTCAGGTGTTATTTCTCTGTACCCAGTAAATTCACGCCATATCCCACCCTTCAAACCGAAACACAGCGATGCAAACAACTGCTTCACGGTTGAAACACGAATGGGACAGAGGTACCCAAGCAATCAACTTTTGTACAAAGTCTCCCTCTGGTAAACCTATTTTCAATATTCAATCAATGACTAAAACTATGAATAACAAAACAATCAGAAGAGTTTTTTATAATAACACGAGATTAAACCCTTTTCATTTACAAAAAATAAAAAAAAATCCATTCAGAATTGAAAATAACACTCGCGCAAAGTTCATAAAAAACCTGTCTCTGATCGATCTAATTCATAAATAGTTTTTAAAAAAAATTAAACATATCAATTTGGTTGATTTTTATTTTTATATATTAATGCGTCTTAATAGATAATATTTTAAACAGGAATTTCCCAATGACTGTAATCTTTTATATATATAGATATAAATAAATCGCTAAACGACTTGCTAAAAATATGAAAATAATATTTCAATAGTTACTAAGCGATTTAAAAATTACCGTGTGGTCCCGGCATAGAATAGGCCACTTCTTTTTTTCCTTTGGATGTCGTAAGAAGTGGCTAAAGGAATTCAATAGTAGACAGACGGACAGCAGCACCCCTTATGGGATAAGTCCGCTATTGTATATTAAATCATTTATGAGTGCTTAATTTGAATTATGTACAATAAAGATTTTACATTACAAGACAATACCCCTTTTAAAACATTTCTAAAAGCCTAATTGCGATTGCCAACCCGTCTTCTAAGCGTGGCAACTACTGGCAAAAACTCCTCTTATATGGAAGGCTTATGTTCAGCAGTGGACAATTAATGACTGAAAGGGTAATTGAAAACTTTCGAAAAATAAAGACGCTTTATGCATCCATTGCAAAGCTAATTAAACTGACCCCATGTATATCCAAATCTGTGATTATCATGATGCTTTTGATGTCCCCATAATAGTTCTCACTTCCTATTAAAATAAAAATTTGATTTTACAATTTACCTAAAATATTAAACATTGGCTTACTTAACTGATATGTAAAGGAAATATTTATCGCTTGAATGCTCGAGTGTGATCGATGGCCTCTAACTATCTCCCTTTTAATTACATTCAAGTAACAGTATTATTATTTTATTTATTTATTTGCAACAGAAAAATCAGCATTTTGCCCTTTTGAGGATAAAGCAATAAACTTAGTTGTGACCATTAAATGTAATGTAAACAAAATATTTACCTATACTGATTTACAATCTATGTATAACATGTGACTTTGGAATATTCTCAAACACTCAGACGTATTTATCAACAAAATAAATTAAAACAATAAGAAATAACGTTTCTTGGGTTCCGCAGAACTCTTTTTAGAACTCAAAACTTATGATAATAACCTCTAAATAAAACAATAAAAGATAATGATTTTTTTTTTCTTTAGTGGCATTCACCCTGATATTATGGTATTTTGCCAAGATAATGATTATATAATATATTATACTAGTTTGTGATACAACTACTAGAACTAGAGCAAGTAGATTTTGCTCCACAAAAAAAACCGACTTTAATTGAAATATAATCCGTTATTTTGATTTAAATACCTAACTACTTTCCAAAATAGGTTTACAAAAAAACAACCGAAGTTCCTCCTTTTTTTCCAAGTCAATTAAAAACTACACTATCTATAAAGAAACTGTTTAAAAACAGCACATTTATTAACTTATAGGTAGAAAGAAATTATTTAAGAATAATAACACTAAAAATATTGAATAGAAAAATACAACTTATACAAAATTGTGTTTTTATAAATTTTAAATGTAATTTTTATTTTTTAACTTTTGATTGTACGGAACCATCGTAGCGTGAATTTTACTACAACTTTACCAAATTTTTTCTATGACCAACAACTAAAATAGGATGGAAATTTTAAGCTCGAATTATAAATAACCTTGGTTGATATAAATAGAATAATGATATGCACAGGATTTCTAAGATTGTCTGTGCACAAGGTTAATATTTCTGGCGTTCATGTATCTGCAATCAAATAACTTTTATATATTGCATATACCTCCTTCTTTTTAAAGTCAGTTGAAAATATAAAAATCGAATGTAGAATTTTTTACCCCCTAAAAGTTTTAGTTTAAAACAATATTGAATATAATGTTAGCTTTTATAATAGTTCGCGATTAGCGCAATTTTTAAATAAATCAATTAGAAATATTGATTGTCTTTTTTGTAATAAACAGATTATTCTAACGTTGACTCATTTCGACTTTTAAGTTACGTAGTGTAAATGTTATGGAGAAAATACAGTACACAAATGATAAAAATATCAGTAGCAATAACACTCTAGATACTAGCAGAAATTATGTTCGAATTCTTCTAGTTGGGAGACTTAATTTTATTTGCCACCCCTATCAAATAATGAAAACATAGTAAAGTATTTTTGTTTTTTGTTTAATTTCATTTATTCAAACATTAGACAATTGTGTTGCTTTCGACCTATACTTTCGGAAAAATGTTCAAAAAGCCATAAAACGAATGTGATTTCAACCTGTGGGTAGGTATATCAATATGGGCCAAGTTGACTGATTTAAATAAATGATAAATGTTATTGCATACAAGTCATAGTTTGGCAATAATATACAAGGTAATTTTCTTAAAGATGCCCACGTCCAAATAACAGACAAAGCCGTCAAATCGTTATTAGTACGAACTTGACCTGAGTGAAATCGATGCTGCACAAGGCGCTATTAAAATAAAGCGACATGACATTTCTACGTAATAAATTGCAAAGTCTGCATTTACATTATCCAAACATCCATGTACTAACAGTGTTGCCATTATAAAATTTATGACCTGCTCTTTTAGCTATATAGAAATTAATAAATCTTGCAAAATTTTACCGAAAATCAAAAGAAAATATAGCCCTATTTTCTTTGACAGTCGTGTATCTAAAAGTAAGATATGAAGAAAAAATAGGTTGTTAGTGATGACGTATAACAACCTAATTGCTAGCAACGGGGGGAAAGGGATTGCTAGTAATGGAGACTGAGAATCCCATTGCTAGCAATATACCCAACCAGGTCGACCTCCTCGCGGTTCTCCCTGGAAATTATCATGGTTAATTCCTGATGAATTCATCATGATGGGCTAACTGGCCTGTTTTCATTCTCATCTATCACCCTTCACTGGTGCTCCGCCAGCGTATCCCGTTAACGCAGGCGGGTTACCATACCATTTTCACCCATCAAAAAAAATTGCTAGCAACGTAACCTTCGATTTTCACGCGGTTCCCGTTAAAAACCATCATGGTTAACTATTGTTGAATTCGTCACGATAGGTCAACTGACCCGACCTCCTTCAGCCTCACTTATCATTCCTCACCGGTGCCCCGTCAGCATATATCAATAGTGCGAAGAGGAAGGAGGGGTTGCTATTTAATTTTCATCTATTAAAAATGATTTTATTTTAGACTGTCAGAATTTGCCAAGCAAAGTATGGCAGTGTATCTTAATTTTATTATATTAAAACTTTCTGCAATGCAAATTGGATAATGTAATTTAAACTTAATATTAATACTCGAGTTCAACCGTGAAGGTCACATCAGAGATCAAATACTTTAAATCCGTATATTTAAATTTTATGAGAAACGCCTCTTAAAATATCTTGCATTATTTAGAAGAAAAATTGTTCTTGAACGAAAGCCTTGAATAGACAGAGTGTAGGAAGGTGCAACAATTCGTTGTGAAATAAAATTAAGTAGTACATATAGGAATATTTTTGTGAGACAACAAAAATATTAAGAGACAATACAAACAGCATGGATGACGTGTTAGAAAATACATTTAATTAATCTATATGACATGATGTTTTCAATACATTTTTTGCTGTTTAATAGACTACTTTTATTTTAAAAAAGCAACACTTGAGTTTCTTGTTCGTTCTTTTAAGCCGAAATTGCAATCCGAATGAGTGAAAAATCATAAACAAAATACTACAGACTTGTAATTAAATCCACTTGTACAAAATTATTGTATATTATTCTATTTATATATTTTTATATATAAATGTAAAATTTATATATAAGTAATATAAATATATAAGAAAAGTATTTTTTGTTTTCAAGCTAATGTCGGAAATTGCTATTTAAGTTTGAAAAAATTCTTTTGCATTTGATAGCTCAATTATTGAGAAAGATTTAAAGCTGTTCAATATTGCGATACAATCAAGGGTGAAGCCGCAGGCAG